GCTGAGGTGTGCCTTAAGGAAATGAGATCCAGGAGTGGCTGGAGAAAGGATGGGATGAGACTGGCATGTCTATAGTTGTTAAAGCTGGGTGAGAAAGGCTCCTTACTTTATCACCATGCATAAAAAATAAAATAAAAAATAAATTAAAATAAAAAAGGTTTGGAGCTTTCCAGAAAACAAAATAAAACAAAAACATTCTTACTAGCAAGGATACAATAGATATGCATGGTGATAGAAGGGAGAGATCCATTTTAGGTGTTCAAGCCCATGGCTACATGGCCATCCATCATCTGCATGAGTATACTCCCATGAGAATAGTCTTGGGCTGCAGGTGCAGCTCAGTGAGAATGAGACCAGCTTGTGCCAGCCCTGGGTCCCATCCCCACATGGAAGAACAGTCTTTTAAGAAAAATAATATAATAAACACACACACACACAATCCTTTCATCTCCAAAAGCCAACCACCAATATATGTGCTTTTATTAAAATGATACAAATACATTAAAATAATGGGTTTGAATCAGTGAGATTACGCATATCTGTTTTTCATCTTACCCAGTGAAAATAAAATTATGGACCTGGGAGGCTCTCTTGCAATTCTCCCATTTAATGAAACAACTCAATCATCCTAATTTTTACATTATTTTGTCACAACAAAATCAAACATTCTCTTCAGAAAAGACCCACTGAGGTGTTCTGATGCCCATCAATGGATTTTTATATTCCTTCTCCAACATCCTCGAAACCATGCTTTGTCCCCCAGGCTTTGGTTCAGATTGTTCTCAAGCCCTGGATGATAGGAAACATCTTGCATCTGTTGTCAGCTTCTAACTAGAAACCTGTGAGCTTTGCACAATTTCTTCTAGAGAAATAAAAGCATATGTCACGGCATGTAGAGACACGTGACTGGGCACACACTCACATACCCTGGGGAACCCTGCGAAGATACCTCTACCAAAACTACCAGTGGAGCTCAGCTACCAACCAGACAGGTAATGCTCATTTTCATTGTTCTCCTTTTGCATTTCACTTCTCTCTAGGTAGAATGATACTTGGAATGCAAAAGCTCAACAGGGCTTTGTGACAGCTATAGTAGTGTCAAACACAAGTGCTGAGAAACTGACACTGTGCGCTTAAGATGGCCACAACGTCCTGGTCACTGAAACCCACCACTGGGAGAGGGCTGGGGGCTCACCGGCACTTAAACACAATATTCCGGCCAAGGCAGTGGCACAAAGCTCCATTCAAGGAGCACCCCAAACCCTTGAGTTTGACACCAGCCTGGCAACACAGCAAGACCCCATCTCAGAAAATAAATCAACACTGTGTCAGGTCCTAACAGGAAACCTGACAACAGCATTTGGGCATCCTATCTATTCTTATTTATGTTCTAGAACTGAAGTTCAGATATCCAATGTTATGTCACAGGTATTGAAAGTAATTCAGAAGTGACTTTATACTGAAGGCATCAATTCATCTGGATAGGTCATACTGACTTTCAAGCCCAGAGGGACTCTTAAATTCTAGTTATGTAATAATATTCTCCCAATTCTCCAGAGAGGTCTAAGATTTCATAGAGAAAAAGGATTCCGCTGTTCAGTGGTACCAGTAGATACTTACAAAGAGCACTTTACCAGGAAATGAAGCCAAATGCCCCAAGCTGAACTAAGTATGATGCATTAATTCCTTAGGGAATGAGAACCAAATATACATTAGACAGCTGCTATCCAAAATAAGTGTTGGCAAGCATGTGGGGGAAATTCAAACTCTGGGCACTGTTGGTGGGAATATAAAATGGTTTCATCATTATAGTTCCTCAAAAAAACTAAAACTAGAATGAGTTACTCTTCTCCCAAAAGATAAAAAGTCTTGAAGAACTATTTATACATTCATATACAGTTGCATTATTCACAACATCTGAAATTTGGAAGCATGCTGAGTGTCCGTGGACAAACGGATAAGCATTCTACTTTCATGACTCTAGGTCCCTGCGGATATAGAATCTGTGCCCCCCCCCTCTCTCTCTCTCTCTCTCTGTGTGTGTGTGTGTGTGTGTGTGTGTGGTGTGGTTTTAGTTAGCATATACTAGGGTGGAACATGGATATAGAGTTGGTTGTTTAATAGGAAGTTTCCAGTTTGGCAAAATGAAGTGTTCTAGAAACAGATGAGGGGAAAGATTGCACCATTAGACCTATAGTAAACATCATTGAAAATGGTTGGTGGTTGATATATATTACATGTATTGTACTACATAAAAAAAAAATGGAAAAGAAATGATGACATTGTATTTCAGTGATCACTGATAATTAAAAACAAAATCAGCTGGAGGGGGATCAGTGGGTAAAAGTACTGGCTGCTCTTCAGAGGATTTGGGTTCAGTTTTTGGCAATCACATGGTGGCTCACAATGGACCACAACTCCAGTTTCAGAAGACCTGGAACCCTCTTTTGTCCTCCACTTGCCCCAGGCACACACCAGCACATGTACACATAAAGGCAAAGCACTTACATAAAATCATTGAAAAAGTACAAAACAGCTGCTGGAGTGGGGCATCCTGAATGGGAACTGAGGACAGGGAAAGACCATTAGGAAAAGTAACCAAACCTTGACAGCCTGGAATGTGGGATGAGTCCATCAAACAGGAGCAATAGGACCCATTAGATGAGAGCTAAATCAGCCAAGATCTCTAATTTTTAGAAACCTATAATTAGTCTCAAGTCAGTTTGCTTTTTAAAACAGTTCAAAATTAAGACAATACTAAAATTTTAGAACTCCAATCTAGAAGGTAGACAACACAAGTATACTAATGCAAAACTTGTATATAGCTACAATCTGCAAGTCTCTATAAGCACTGTCCACAGCCTTAGTGACTCATTACCCACTAGTTACAAGAGACCTCAGAATCTCATATTGCAGGACTGCAATTTCAGGGTGGGTCTTCCCCATTTACATCAGAACTATTTCTTCAGGTGGATACAATATGAACTTTTCCCATTATACTTGTGTGTGTTCTTGTGTGTTTGGGTGTGATAGTACATTGTGTGTGCTAAGGTCCAAGGCTGATTGCTGGTGGCTTCAATTGCACTCTATTTTATATACTGAGGCAGGCTCTGTCACCGAACCTGGAGCTTACCTGGGGAGTAACCTTATTCCAGAGATGTCTGACTCCCCCATGCTAGGATTCCAAGATCTTCATGACTCCCTGGAGATCTAAGTTCCAGTCCTCATGCTTGCTCAACATTTATTCAATTCACTGTATCTTTGGTATATGGGCTGTTAAGTCTGTGAGCATTCTGGTTTCTTCAAGCAATCAGGAGCCCAATTGTGTGCTCTGTGGTGTCAACACCTAACTTCTGTGCAATGTTAATGACTGGAAACACCTAAGTTTCGCTCATTTCCAAGCACCACTTGTTTCCTCTTGCAAGCTGGCTACACAAAACAAAAAACTGTTCAAACAGGATGGTGGAAAATACAGTAGCAGTTTTAATGGCCCCATCCAAGGAGCTAATGACTATGTGTCCTCTTCCCCTCCCTTCTCTGTAATCAGTGCTCTCAACACTCCAGGGTTTTGAATGCAGGTGCAAGGCACTAGGAATCCTAGGTGCAAGTTCTGTTTCTTTTCTCCACTCACCTTTAGGGTCAACTGGCAAGCCTGCCTGACCACAGGTAGCAATCTTGGCTTCTCAGACACAACCTTAACTGGGTCTGAAGCACTTATGCCAGGAATGGTGCAATCGAGTCAGCATTATTATTCTTGCAGAGAAAAGCATGATTCCATGGCAGGTGAACCACTGCCGTCAGTAAGCAACACTGCCACCTAGTGGCCAACGGTGACAATGTGCCAAGACTTTGCAGCCCAAATAGTAATTATGAATACATCTGGTTTCCAAGCCAAAAACCAGAACTTCTAATAAACTGATCTTTGGAGAACCTCAGATTTTCTTGAGAAATTGGTTTTTTTTTTTCCTTTTGCTTTTCTGTGGTCTTTTTCAACAGACTTATCAGGAGCTGCTTTGGGGCCACTTCCCTCTGGTTTGGCAAGATTAAGCAGCAGTCCCTAATGATGCCAGCTAGCTAAAGCAGTAAGCCTCCACTGCACACTAAGTATGTTAGGGTTGCTCTGTTCCTCCATTCACAACCTAGGGTGTTATGTACCTCATTTACCTCCTGTCCTAGAAAATAACATCACTAGAACACACCACTAACAATCTGCATCACCCGTCTGCATGGCCCCTCCCTCTTATGACTACCCAGTAACAGTGGAGGGCTGCTGAGATGGGGATGTGCTGCTCCTAATGAACACTCTATGGCCCTTTTACCCAGGTGCTGTCGTGAAATGTGACTTCACAATTTCAGGGGGTAAGTGTGACTAGTTCATGAACACCTGGGTAATACATTGTGACTACCCACACTTCAGACACTGTTGTGACCACTGTAAGCAGTCTGCTCTTTGGAATGTCCACAATGGCTATTGATCTTGCTAAAGGAGGTGTCCTCTATCACCATGTTTCTGGGTTTACTGGAGGTGCTCCCGGATCCCAGCATGTGTCTGCTATGGTCTTCAACAAACATACACGTTCTTGGCAAATACTAAAGTCAGTTAAAGACTTGGGGATAGGCCAAGTTCTGGGAAAGAGGCATATGAGGAAGAGGAAGTTGAACAAAGACATTTTAGGCTGCATCCTGTCAGTCAATGCTTCAATGGAATGCTTCAATCCTGAGGGCACGAGGTAGACTAGGAAAACAGCTGTAGGAGAGGCTGGCCAGAAGCAGGTGTCACCACCCTGACTGAGGGTGGTGCTTTCTAGAGCACTGTATCTGATTGAAGCTGGTCATTCTAGGGACATCAAAATTGCCTAAGGTTCTCCACAGTGCATTCTCCAAGCTGAAGCCCGCCTTCCCCACTTGGCTCATCCTGCATGCTTCAAACCAGGTTCCTGCTGGGCATACCTGAAGCCAAAGCCACACAGAATGCCAAAACTTAAACATGGTGCCAGAAATCATCTCCAAAAACATTTATTAGCATGATTAAAAACATTTTTTGAATAGTAACAGAAGGAGTTTCTAAACATGAAGAGTTATCAGTGGCTCTAGCTTACAACCAATATTTGGAATTCAATGGACAGTTTTATTGCCAATCTTGATTTATTAAAAACAATCCATTTATCAGTTCCATGACATCATGACTATTGCTTTGTCTGGGAATGAGTCCCTACAGCAATTAAGTATAAAAAATATCTTCCATCATAATTGGAGAGTGACCTGCATTGGAGCGTGACTCTGAGTAAAGAGTTGATTAAAAATACACAAAGAGTTGGGGTTTTGTTTTTAAAAACACTCCTTTACACACTACAAAGAAAGAATTAGTATTTTGGCTTTTAAAATTCCTACACCATACTGAGAATGGCAGCCCCCAGAGGCAGTCCCCTCACAGCACTGGACACAGCCCCTCTTCTGGAGGGCAGGCTCCAGAGCAGACTCTGAAGGCTTAGGCCTCCACGTATTTATACTGGTCTGAGAACAAAGACAGCGTCGTCCAGAACATAGTAGTCATTGTACATGTCGCCTTCACACAGGTATGGCAGTCTAGTGAAAGCTTCGATGACAAAGCCAGCTTTCCTGAACACTTCAGGCAGGCTATTCACTTGTTCTTCCCAGTTCTGTCCCTTGATTTCCAAAATTTCTGAGGGTTTCTCCCACTTGCCACCTACTAGAACAAATAAAAACATAAAGTTAAATCCTTGAACAAATGATTCACTGAAAGGGGGAAGGGAAAAGTAGTATTCCAGGTACTGAATGAATGAATGTCATTCAGGATATGCCATTTCTGAACAGTTCCCCCACACTCTTTAAGAGAGGTGGACACAGCCTGGAAGGAGTGACAGAACTTGCTTACAATGATGCTCCCAGGCTCTCTGCATCCAGAGCCTACACCGACGGAGCTTCTTTTGTGGCTCAGAAAACTAGCCAGTAAATACTCAAATATAGAGTCAGAGAGTAAACACTAGTATTTGAAAGGAGGCTTTGCTCAGTACAAGACATCACACACATATAACATGTATTCAACTTCCAGCCTATAGTTACCTGGATGAAAATTAAAACAGACTCTTGAGGATTTTTGTTTGTTTGTTTGTTTGTTTTTAGACAGGGTTTCTCTGTTAAGTTTGTAGACCAGCTGGCCCCACAGAGATCTACCTGCCTCTGACTCCTGAGTACTGGGACTAAAGGCATGTGCCACCAACGCCTGTCCTCTTGTGAGGAATTTTAATTCGCTGAAATGCACATGCTTTTCAAGAGAAGCTGACCCATCCCCTAAGTCACCTGTCAATCACTTTCAAACCTTAAGCATTAGGATCCTGGGGTATGAAAAGCAGGCAAGGTCACACTATCCTGTTGTAGAATATTATTTTCACAAATGTGTTACATCTGTTTATGCTGTGGAACATTTATTTGGGGATGCAAAGATGTATTGTATTCTTTTATATTTCATTTACTTATCTCTGTGAAGCTGTGTGACTTTGCCTGTCTACAACCCCAAATGATCTAATAGAGTTGAACAGCCAATAGCAAGGCAGGAGAAAGGGTAGGCTGGGCTGGCAGGCAGAGAGAAATCTGGGGGAAAAAAGGGATCTAAGAATGAGAAAAGAAGGAGGGGGCCAGGGGCCAGGCACCCAGCTATATGGTCAGACACAGAGTAAGAAGGAAAGAAAAGTGATACAGAGATAGAGAAAGGTTAAAAGCCCAGTGGGATAATTTAAGAAAAGCTTGCTACAAACAAGCCAAGGCCAGTAATTTAGGGCTGGGTAGCAAGACCCCAAAAGAGCCAAATAATAAAGAGTAAAAACCCAACATTCTCCTACAGGCCACACCCTGACTATACACAGACAAAACCAAGAGTATATTTGCATGTAGGGCCTTTTAGAGGCTTTGGTGATAGGCCACTAAATGCAGATGCTAAAGAGATTTACAACCAGCAGGTTACTAGAGCACACAGGACACTGGGGGAAAGATTATATATATACTCTTTTCAGTGGCCAGCACTGCATTCTCTGTCTGAGGAGTTAATCCTCAGTGGGAGGGGAAGCTGCTTTTCTGGCCTTCCTTGCAGCAGGGAAGGGACTGGTGCAACACCTTGGCCTGCTGCCAAAAGTGGAATGAAGAGCCGGTGACCCAGAAGAACAAGAGGTGTTTGCTAAGTGCAGGCACTGAATCGAACGGCCAAGGAGGTGGGCTGATGAGTGGGTGCTAATGACAAGAGTTTGCAGCACTTAGTGCCAGGAGATAGCAGCCCAGCATCACACCAGTTTCAGAGTGTGATTCAAGCTCTGCCTGACTTAGGGTTCACATGGTTCTCCAGGCCTTCCAAAACTCCAGGAGCCATATCAAATCATATTAGCAAGTCTCTTTTTGATGGAGTAGCCTGAATCAGTTCCTGCTACTTACAAAGAACCACCTGACTGATAGAGGCTGAGTGTGTGTGCGGTGGCAGTGAGGGGGTTATATGTGACTCAGATCCTAAGCAGGGACCGAGGGGCATATCCATTTTGCTTGTCAACACTAAGGAGTCTTTGAATTAAAGCTGGACATGTTTAATGGTAGCTAAGGACTTCTTCACCATACTGGAATGTGCTGGCCACTGGTTTTTCTCCCAGGCCTACAGGAAATATGGCCTGTGGCTGCTCAGGTCTAGTAATTTCTGTCCCTGAGAGGCACTCCACAGAGGACCACAGCAGCAACAAGTGAACTCTGAAAATGCCAGGCACTCCCTAAGGACCACATGACTTTCTGGAACACTGCTGGGTGTAAAGCAAAGCTCCACACAGAACATCAAATGCCTATGAAAAATGCTAATATACACACGTTTAGAAAAACACTCTCAACTGAAATCTCAACTTTAAATGGTGAAAACTTGTTACAAACCATGCTTACACAATTTCTAAAAGTTCCTGCTTGTGCTTCCTTAATAAGAGTTCCTCTTTACTTCTTCCTTTCTGAAAAGAAAGGAGGAAAGGAAGGCCATCCTCTTGAATACATTCAGAGCGACAGGCAGCGGACACAAGCAAGATGGGCCTCCAGCTGGAAGTCAGTCTGATCCTGTTTCATGTCGGTAAGGAGGATTTTTCCTTTCCTCTATTTCATTTCAATGAATTGCTGCTTCCTAACTAATACATGTATACTTTAAGCTCTTACCAAATAACTGAAACTGTGCAGCACTACAGTAAAGAGATTGGGTTTCTTCTTGCCCACAGCTGAAGGAAGGTTTCCTACCAACCTTGAGCCCTTTGCTGTTTGTGCCGCTTTGAACACACCTCACACAGGGTCTGCTCAGCCCCACAGGTGCTAATGATTCAATCCCCACACAGGCAAGCTGGCTCAGAGCTCGTGCACACTACACAAGATTTGCTTAATACTTCCTTCCATACGACAATGTTTCCTAAGGCTGAAAAGAACTTAGTTTTAAAGTTACTGTAACTTGTTCTAGAGAAAAGCCACCCCATAATATAACTAATCATCAAATTCTGCCTGTACCTATTCTAACTCTATAAAAGTTATTTCTTTCATCATAGTTGTAAATAATCTCAGATTTACCCACAAAATTTAGACTGCAAGGAAAGAAATGGAGCAAAACTTCGTGAAATTAAATTTTTTCCTCCTCTGTAAAGGTAGGTCTTTAGTCCAGCAGTGAGCCACTTACCTAGCATATGCAAGACTCTGGGTTCACACACAAGAAAAGGAAAGCAGAAGGATACAGGGAAGGGAGAAAGAGGTGTGGGGAGAAGAAATAAATTATAGCAACATGTTAACATTGGCTCTTCTGACTGAAGAATCATGGTGTCTGCAATGAGTATATACTCCTTTAATCACTATTATAGCTGGAGGCAAAGAAAAGCCTTATCTCTCCAATTACATTATGAAATGTTTGCAGATACAATAACAAAGGGGTAAGTAGATGAGACAGTAAGGAAAGATGAAAAAAGGCTGAGGTAAAGCCAGGTGATGGTGGGTCCACTCTGCTAGGTACCTATTTTTGCATGTTGGACATTTTCCACAATAATAAATGTTGGGCTGAGTGGTGATGGTACACACCTTTAATCCCAGCACTCAAGAGGCAGAGGCAGGTGTATCTCTGAGTTTGAGGCTACAGAGTGAGTTCTAGAATAGCCAGGGCTACACAGAGAAACCCTGTCTTGAAAGCCAGAATAATAAATTATTAACAAATGTTAGAGCTAGAGATATAACTCAGTAAAGTGCTTGCTGTGCAAGCAGAGGGGCCTACATGTGGTTTCTAGAACCCATGTAAAAAGGTCAGGCCTGGTGGCACACACTTCTAATATCAGTGAGGGGGAGGCAGAGCTAGGCAGATCCCCAGGGCTCACTAGCCTACTCAACCACTGAGTCCCTATCTGGAAAAACCAAAGTAGACAGCTCCAAAGAACACAACAGAGCTTATCCTCTGGCCTCCACATATACGTCAACAGTCATGTGTGCATGCCCACAGACACGAGTACACACACTTGAACAAAAAGACATACATAAGCACAAACAAAACAAGCTTACATATGGTATCCCTTAGTTTTCAAAAAGTAGTAAGATGATTTTATTTCTTCCAAGCTAAACTTTCAACATTTTTAGTAGGAACTAATTTAAAACAAAAAACTAACAAGTCTAAAAATTCCTAAAAGAAAGACTTCACAGTAGAGGGCTTTGGTAGACACTATCCAGACTTCTCGTTTTGGCTAACATTGCTCAACTGGAGGGGGAGGGAACAGAACAGCACTGGCCCCTTCCTTGTCCCATCTTGTGAGTTCTCCCACCCTGAGACTGAGATAGGGAATCCCCAAGTTGCAAATGCTTCTTACTGTTAAAGGTTGGCTTTACTTTAAAACAGTCACCTAAAAACCACCTAAGACTGGGGTTCTGTCAGCAGTGTTGGAACTTAAATCTGCATGCAGGGGACTGTGCTGCAGTGGCCCCTGGCCTCTAAGATGACTGATGTGCCTGGGGCAGAGGGAGGGACTGTAGTGAAGAGGATAGGGTTAGCCCACTGCCCTCACACACTGTGTCCAGAGGCACTCCCAGCTGATTAACTCCTTGTAGCAAGACTCAGCTTCCCTCAAAGTACACAATGCTCAAAGTGAACTGTGAGAACAGACTCACAAATGCTGTGACTAACTTCACTGCCTCTGCTGCACTGGGTGGGAACCTATAGGACAAAATAAATGTTAAGTTATGAAGAGCCCTAGCCTTAAAATCAGCAGCAACCCTTTGAGGGTCAAATATCAGATTATGATTCTTATAGCAAAATTAAAGTTATAAAGTAGCAATGAAGTAATTTTATGGTTGGAGGTCACTAGAACATGAGGAACTGTATTAGAGGGTTCCAGCATTAGGATGGTTAGAACCACTGCTAAATGGTACAAGCATCACAGGACTTGGATTGATCCCATCGCCCACAACATTCTCAGGAGCAAAGTAGGATAAGTAAGATTACTTGGCCCATTATTTTTTCTGAGACCATTTGACCTATACAACTAGACAGAAGTTGAACTAAAAACTCATATAAATTCCTGTCTGCCTTAACCAATACATTCTTCATGTGACTTTCTAATATCACATTTCTGGAACTAGAAGGTCAAGATAGGAACTCAAGCTCCAAGGAGTTGCACAGTGGAGAGTATTAATGGCAGGGCAGCAACAGAAATGACTGTTATCTATTAGATCCTATGGCTTAGGCATCACATTTAAACTCTGCATGAACTGCACAAGGGAGCAGCATCCCCACCATGATAGGAAACCCATGCAGCACTCACAGCTTCAAGGGCAGAGATGGGTTCCAACTCCAGTCTGTGCTCTCCTTGTTACTATACAATGAGTCAGGAAAGACCAATGCACAGGGGACTCCCTCCCTGACCCTCTTACAGCAGTTAGGAAAGCCATCGTTTGGGCCAGAGCTGCATTTTCTCATAGGTACATCTTTTCCTGTTATCCTACTTCCCAAATGGACACCAGATTCATCTCTAGGCAATCCAGCACTAAACAGGCAGAAAACCTGGTGGTGCTCATGTGCTTAAGCACACCCCAAAGCAAGGGGTGTGCATGAGGAAACAGGCTCTTCAAGATCACAAGGACAGCTTGAGATCAAGGAAATGCTTACAGGCATCAAGAATGCTTCAGACACACCACCTCCACTAGACACACTGATCCAATGAGAACATCTCTGAGGTTGTCCTCAGATAGCCAGATGGCATGCTAACAGCCATCAGACAAAGACCAGCAGCAATGAGTTAGCACAGGTGAGGCCCACTGTTGTCTTTACAGTATTGTTTTTAATGGGAGTAGGACAAGAATCAAAGAGACTGACTGGTCCCTGGCCCAATAGTACCAAGAAGCAGCGACAGCAAAGAAGCTCCCCAACACTCATGTGCTTCCTCACACAGGTGTGGTGGGTGCCTGTACTGTCTCTGTGGTGCAACCAGGTTACCTAGAGGTGGACTACACTTCTGAGACTGTCACCATGGAGTGTACCTTTTCCACAACTGGGTGTTCTTCAAAGCAACCAAGCAGCCTGTGGTTTCGCTGTGGCACTCATCAGCCTGAGGCTCTGTGCTTGGATGGATGTAGAAATAAAGCAGACAAGTTTACAGTGCAAGAAACCCTGGACCAAAACCGAGTCTCCCTCACTGTCAACAGGGTGTCTCCAAATGACAGTGCAATTTACATTTGTGGAATAGCATTTCCCCATGAACCAGCACCGAGAGCTAAACAGACTGGAAACGGGACTACACTGGTGGTAAGAGGTCAGTCACGCGGCCATGTCACATTTGTTAACATGTATATGGTTGTTAAGATTTTTTGGGGGGGAGGGGTTACTGTTCCCTTCCCCGTCCCCTGTCCCCTGTCCCCCTTAAAAGAAATCAAGTCTTGCTGGCCTGTTCTAGGCTGCTTTGAATTCTTGCCTCAGCTTCCCCTTGCCTCAGCTTCCTAAGGAGCTGGCACTACAGGCATGTGCTGCCACAGTCTACTTCAAATGTCTTTCTCAGACTACTCAAGGGAGTAGCTTCTCTCCAGCTTTGTGTTTGCTCCTTATTTTTTTTCTGAGTCCAATTTATTGGTCACTTCTGCTTCTCTTACAGAGTGATATTCTAGGTGGTACAATGCTAAGACAGTTTGAGAAAGCTGGTAAGACACATAAGTCTCCCTGTGTTAAACCTACACATTGAACATACAAGTCTCTGCTATACCTAGCCACTGTACACACAGGTCTCCTTGTGCTACACATACACACTGAACATACAAGCCTGTGTTATAACAAGACACTGCACACATGGGCCTCCTCATGTTACACCTAGATAATGCACACATGGACCTGCCCATGTTATACCTAGACACTGTATAAACAGACCTGCCTGTGTTACACCTTTCAGAAGTCTGGGGATAGAGAGAGAACTGAGAAGGCCCACCACTGCCTGTGCCTGGATACCAGATGGAGTCAGTCAGAGAGGTTCTGGAAACTAGCAGCTTGTGTCAAGACATTACACTACCAGATTTATACCATAATTTGTGCTTGTGAGATAAAAGTTTAAAGATCTGAGCAAAATGTTATGTTTAAAGAAAAGGAAGGAAGGAAGGAAGGTAGGTTCATTGTATAAACTGAATCCATGGGATAGGACCTATAGGATATTTAGCTGGAACCACAGGTTAACGGAAAATAATTTTGCATCTAATTGTATTTCATGTTTCATATAATCAGTACTGAAAGACACACAAGTTACTTAGTCCCCTCTTTGAACACAGGATATGAAAACCCACTCAGTGTTACTCCTTACAGGGTTTTGCTAATGGAAGCACATATCACAACTGCCTTTAAAGCAAGGTGTTGCCTCTAAGATCCTCAGGATTCTACCTCCTCCAGTTTTTACCAGATGGCACTAGTTAGCTTTAACCAGTTGCATCTACAAATAACAAAAAAATATCTGCACTGCACTGACAGACTTGATGACACTTGTTAATCACTTCTAACAAAATGTCCATATATTTAAGTAATGCTTATAAAAAATAATTCTTGGGATAGATGGAGTTCAGTGGTAGAAGGCTTAAGCATGTGTGAGGTACTAAGTTCAATGAGCAATATGGTACCATAAAGGGGGGGGGGGACAAAGCAACAAAAAGGTGATTCTTAGCAGATATCCAACTCAATTTGGTTGTTTGAGACAGAGTCTCACTATGTAGCCCTGGCTGTCCCAGAACCTATTATGTAGAGCAGGCTAGCTTTGAACTCAGAGGTTTCGGTCCATCTACTTCTGTCTTGCAAGTGCTGGCATTAAAGGTGTGAGCCACCATGCCTGGCTCTTCAACTTAATTTTAATGTTTTTATTTTATGAAGAAGCATTTCTGGTGTAACACGTTTAAAGGCCACTGAATTGACTCTATCTCATTCTGAGCATCTTCTCCTCATGGGGCCCCAGGTAGACGTTGCTGGGATGGGTGAGCACAGCAAGTTCAGGCTCCGCCACTAAATGTATCATAAGTGATGCTTCATAGATGCCTGCCAGAACATGCTTGGACAGTGACTGTTCTTTCTGTCCCCACCATGAAGAAAGACTTCTCAGCAGGGAGGTGCACCATCTCCTGATAGTGCTCTTAGCACTGTTCTCTGTCTACATCACCGGGGTGTGTGTGATCGTCATAGTCCTCTTCAAAGTAAGTCAAATGCTTGCACTCCCAATGCTACCACAGACAAGTTACTTTCCTCTCCTCCGCCTCAGAAACAGCTGGCCCAGAAAACACCTGGTTCGGATCTTCAGGGGCGCCACTATTAGTCAGAGGCCACACTCAGAGTGAGTGTCTCTTCTTTAGAACCCACAACTAAGGGATGAAGCACCTGTGTTGATTTTCTATTGCAAGGGTAAGGAGTCAGGAGAGGAGAGGCTACTGTTATCTAGGAAAACCTGAAGAACCATTTTTTTTTTTTTAAGAGCAGAAACAGTTAATGAAGATATTAGAAGTTGCCTTAAAACATTCAAGACCTAAATGTACCAAAAAGAAGTTTCTTTGATCTGCATACATGTTAAAAAAAAAAGGGGGGGGGGACGGGAGGGGTATAAGTATCTATTAAAATTCTTTCATTTGCTGTAAGATCCATTTAAGTTGCACCTAAAATGTCATGAAAGTTATCTAGTGTGTCATTCAAACACTAAACCAGCTCAGTTCTTTTTCTGCATAGTATCACAAAATGCTCACAGCTTTTCTTATTCTTGGCAGTCAAAATCTAACAGTCCAAGAGGCAAAGAAACCAAAGACAACTCACAAAAGGTACTGCCAGTGCTTGCATTTCTACATCTTGGCGGGCGGGAACAGTGCAAATGCGAGCTGTATGAGGAAGCTCAGAGAACAACACAGTAGCTTCCACCCTAGAGGCTATTTCCTCTGAGGGATCATTGATCTGCAATCATCTGGGGAGGAAGCTGCCATCCCAACCCGACAGATCTCAGCCACAAACTCTGCTGAACGCACTCAGAGCACAGGGGCTAACTCCATGTGGCTACAGAGGGGTTCCACTGCTGAGCCCCATAATAAAGGTGGATGGAGCTCATGCCCCTGAAAGACTAACTCCCGCTTTTGATTTTTCAGAAGAGTGCTCGGCGCATCTTTCAGGAAATCGCTCAAGAATTATACCATAAGAGATATGTGGAAACAAGCCAACAACCTGTACGTATAAAACAGCAAAGGACACAATGCAGATAGAAAGTGTCTACCACTGAAAAGAATATGCTGCCAACAAGCTGTCAATTATTAAGCTTCCTTTAGAAGACTCTTCACAAAGTGTCTGTTATCAGAGGGCATTTGATACAATGTTTAACAGTAAGAAGACTCCATCTCAGTGACTTGGTTTTCAATATGCGGCCAGTGAACAGTAGGCCCTAAATCAGTGCTACAAACCTATGTAAATTAAATAATATATTTAAATCACTTGTTACCAGTAAGGAAAAAACAAATTTGCTAGTGATTAAAAAAAAAAAAAAAACAGCATCTTTCAAGCTCTGGGACTAGGACACTGAGGACAGGATGATCTAGACAACTTCCTGACAGAGTAACTCTCAGACCACAGTCAGAATTCTGGAGGGAATGCAGCCATAAAGGGTAGCAGGATACCAGGTTCCACAACACATAGCTCGAATGCTAAGCCCTCTATAACAATGTACACAGAGAACAGATAACTAGGAAAGAGGCAAACACAACAGGATGATGACTATCAAGTGTGATCTTTTTTCTTTTTTGCTTTGGCCTTCAATTTGTAAGGGCCTTTTGTGTGCTGGGGATATAGCTCTATGGCAGAGCAGTTACAAGGCCCTGGGTTTCACCCCAACATCAGTTTAGAAAAGTAAAAATCTAAACTTTTTTTAACCAAAAGAGAATATCATCCACATATTCAATTCACCTTCTTGTTATATAAAAAAGCATAAAGACAAAAACTGCCTGTTCACACTTTTTCCTATTGAAGCTAGGGTTTATTGTATCTTATTCTTTGAAATGGTCTCTCCCTCTGCAGTCCTAGCTGACTATGTAGACCAGGCTGGCCTGAAATTCACAAAGACACAACTGCCTCTGCCTCCTGAGTGCTTTTCAACAAAAGCGAAAGTAAGCAGTCTGAAGGAAGATTGCAACTAAAAACTGCAAAGTTATGAGTCAAAGATTTAACAACAGCATTATGACAGATTTTATTTTAGTTCCTATATCCTACTTTAAAGGAAGGAAATGAAGCCAGGTGTGGTGGTGCACACCTTTGATCCTAGCACTTGGGAGGCAGAGGCAAACACATCTTTGAGAGTTAAAGGCCAACTTAGTCTACATAGCAACTTGCATGTTAGCCAGGGTTATAAAGTGAGATACTGTCTTTTAAATAAGGAAAAATGGTAACCAGACTTTTAGAATAGCCGGAAGGGCCAGGCATAATGGTACACACCTGTCATTCCCAGCACCTGGAAAACTAAGGCAGAAGAATTATCAGCTCAAGGCCAGCATGGGCTTCATAGCAAGACCCCAAACCCTGTTTCAGAAACAAACAAAACCAAGGTGAGCATGGTAATATGCTGTGTTCTGGTTTTGGGGTTTTGTTTGTTTGACTTGTTTTTTTATTTATTTTCTTTTTGGATTTTTCAAGACAGTATTTCTCTGTGTAATAGCTCAGGCTGGCCTCGAACTCATAGAAATCTGTCTGCCTCTATCTCCCAAGTGCTGGGACTAAAGGTGTGTGCCACCATGTCCATGGGTAACATATACTTGTAACCCAGTATTTACTGGGTAAAAGCAGAGGATCTAAAGCTCAAGGTCATCCTGGACTACATAAACAGTGTGTTTAAAGTCAGTCTAAGGGCTATATATCTCAAGATCACACAATACCAGAGCAAAGGGTGGATTCTTTTTTCATACAAAAAGAAAATTCAAACTGAAAGTGTACACACACACACACACACACACACACACACACACACACACACACACTGATTCAAAGTATGCACAAGACCAAAGAAGCTCCTATGTAGCTGTAGGATGACATCACTGGTAACATAATGTTAAGCAAATCTCATGTTTACTGTCACAGGAGAGAGACGGCACTTATGAAAACAGAAGAGCACTTCCCTAGTCCGGAAGACCATAGATGTGTTTACTTTTTAATTAAATCACTGAAGTACAACTCCAGCATCTACGCAGTGTGATGGACACTAACCAACCAAAAACACCCAAGACAGCTGGGGATGTGGCTCAGCTGGCAGAGTGCTTGCCTAGCAGGCACAAAGCCCCAGGTTTGATCCCCATCACCACATAACCTCAGCAAAGTGACACAGGCTATACTCCCAACATTCTGGAGGTGAAGTAAAGAGAGTCAGAGGATGAATTTGAGGTCAGAGACATATGTCACCTGTCTCAAAAACTGTTATCACCAAAAGAAAAAGACAGAACAAATGAGAAAGGCAGCCAGCTACGCCAGAAGGTAGAACATAAGAAGCTGTCACTAACAGTAACTGCAAAATATGAAAACTTTAAGAAAATTCAACTGGAGGATCTCTTTTCCTAATTTTCCAGGAACAATCTAAGGAGGCAAACAAACAAACAAACAAAAATCAGAACAGTCTTTTAAAACTGTTATCACCTGTATCCTGTCAGTCCCACACTAGGTAAGTCACGGCCATTAACCCGGAGAAGTTTTAAAGTTAACCCACAGATCTCAATTCAGAGGGGGAGATAAATATCTTCCTGAGTTGTGGAAATGATGAAACAGCTACAATCAAGTGAGAGGGGATGAAAAAGAGTGATGAGAAGGCCAATTTTTGAGTAAAAGAAACTCATTGGACAAAGACTTTGGAACAAAGCTCATTTCTTCTGATACTATAACGGAGCAATGGGCAGTGCACATTCTCATGCTGAAGTATCAGAACAACCAAGAAAAGCAAAACCAGAAGAGCGACCAGAGGAAGAACACAAATAGAGAAACCCAAAGCGGATAAAATGCCTCAGAACAAATGCAATCAACTGACTCTAGATGTCAGTGTGGTGCCAAAGACTTCTGACCCAGGGAGTGCCTGGGTCATCACTTATACTGAACCTAGGAGGAAGGCCTGGACCAACAAGGGCCTCACTATTTCTCTAAGAGGTGTGCCATGGATTGTTCTTTGAATATAAAGTACCAATAAGCTCACACTGCTCATTAAATTTGATCACAGTGTATTTTATCACTACAGTTTCTTTTAAACAGGTACTAAATGTCATACACTTCTTAAAACTCAAATACAGTCTTTACACACTTCAAAGTCTCTTTGGAAGAATCTGATACTGGTGGTTCAAATCAGTGCTATCCTGATAACATGTGTCCCAAAAACAGGAGAGGAAGGAGCAGGTGATCTCACTTCACACACGGTGTGGTATATACGTATGTATATGTATGTTAGCAAATACAAGCAAAGGAAATAAAACAGTGGCATACAGCAGCATTTTGGCTGACTGGTTGGTTCAAGGTTTTTTCTTTGTTTTGTTTTTATGTGTGTGCATGTGTCTGTGTCACAAATGTGTGTGCAGGTGCCCACAGAGCCTAAATGAGGATATCCGATTCTCTGAAACTGGAATGACAGGTGGCTCTGATCTGTCCAACATGGGTGATGGGAATGGCACTCAACCATTGAGCCATTCTCCTCCCATCCTTTCTGACACATGGCCTCATGTAGCCCATGAACACATTATCTTTCTGCCTCCATACTCCAAAATGAACCTCCTATGACTCCAAGAGGCAAACCCCTAACTCTAAACTACCAGCTTAGGCAAAAGTAAACTAACTTCTGAACCAGATGACAGAAAGGGGCAAGTAGTAACTCCATTTAAGAGAGCAGAGTCCTGGATGCACGTACTATTCATTTCTGCCAGTGACTGTACTCTGGTATTGTTTCCAGAAGACAAATCTCTAATGTATTAGGATTGAATTCTAATATGCTTTTCCCAAAGAATGAATGCAACAATTGCTTCAAAGTTGGATTTTAAACTGAAATTTGGAAGGTATTTTCAGTGGAAGGACCTCTATTTCCAAGGTCACACACAAGATGGCCCAACACTCAATGAGCACTGACTACTCTGCAAGGCTTGCCCTTGATTTACACTGAACTTTCCCTATCCCAACCTCATCATGTCTGTATCTTTATGCTTTTGCATATGCTCTTGTGTGAGTTTGCTATATACTATGAAGATACAGCTCAAGAGGATGAGCAAGGCCCTGGATCAACCCCAGCACAGTAAAGACAACAAATACAACAACTCAGCAACGCACACACAAAGCCTTCCCTGAGTCCCATTTAATGATCTTTTCTTCTCTAGTTCTACCATACTTTGCCCTGTCTCTGTACATTATCCCAACATTGCCTGTTACAGCTACAATCTGTAACAGGATCACAACTAGAAGCACAGTGCTCATTGAACCTTAGGATTTCCACTGCCTGACTCTTCCCAGCACACAGTAGGCCTTCAAATGCCTTTGTATGAATACGACTGAACAATAATTCTAAAACTTTCAACTCCATTGCCACTGGCCTTTCTCCAGAAACTACTGGCTGAATCCCTTCTTGTTCCCTGAGCATCCAGAGCATTTTCCCTGTTACATACTAAACTAAACTGTTACATACTAAACCCATTGTGACAGGAGTCTGCCACAAAGCCTGGAGACCTCTGTGACAATGAATATGAAATGAAATGATGGTGAGATGCATCTTAGTTGGTTGCTGTTGCTGTGACAAAGTATCACAGGTCTTGTGGATTATAAGCAGCAAAAATGTCTTTTTCCTAGTTCAGGAGGTTGGAAGTGGAATCAGAGTGCTACAAGGTGGGTTCTAATTTAGATCCCTCCTCCAAACTGCTGAAGGCAGAGTATGTGGGCTCTGGGACCACTAGCACAGGGCACTAACCTAGTGAACCCTATCACCTCCTAAACCCAGCACAATGGTGGTGGGGAAGCTTAACACAGAAGAGGCAAAGTCTTCTATCCATATCCTGTACCCTGAATTGCCTGTCAAGATATGCCAATGGGCTTTTCAAAACAATTAATTCCTTTTCCATCTTTGTAGGGAATCTCAAACCTGTGACCAATGGAAATATAGCCGTGGAGTCACATACACCAATGGAGAACTCACTTTGAGACAGTTAAAATGCAAAACGAAGCCTCCAGATTCTGAATGCCTTTGTTATGAGTTTAAGGCAGACTAAAAAACACTGATAAATATTTCTATAGGAGGAATTGTGTAAACAAGTATGATCAAGAAAGTCACAAATAAAAACACAGTAAGAGAACAGAATAGACTAGAATAAATCTAGCATGGATCAAATACCAGAAAGCAGACCCATACAGTTGGCCACTGTTTAATAACACATTACCTAACCCCCATAATAAACCCCAACGTGGGTATTAGCCACTTTGGGCAGGTGAAACTCTCAGATTATTGAGAGGCCATACTAACCCATATTTAAACTCAAACAGGTTAGCCCTCTGACACTAAGATCTTTCCACAAAAAAGATTGGGATTCCTGCTTGTTTCTATTTGGGTGAGAGTTTTAGACTAAATGTTTAACCAGGAATAGTGGGCATGTCTATAAATCCTAGCATTCAGGAAGCAGAGGCAGGGAGACAAGCATACATAGCAAGTTCCAGACCAACCAAGAATACATAGCAGGACACTATTATAATAATATTGGCAACAATAATATAATAATCTAATTTAATCAGACTATGACCTTATAAATGAGTAAGAAAGTTGCTAACAGGTAATTTCTCAAAAGTAAAAACCTCATGCAACTGTTTCACAGAGAAATGTGAGTATAACATTCCCAATTATTTTCTACAAAATCAGTAGGACGATAACATCTTCTACAAATACAAAGATCAGCTATAGGTATTCAGTTATCAATAACATTAATGCTATCTATGTGGCACTGTGGTCAACTCTATAATCTTATCTCCTCAGAAGGTTAAGGCAGGAATATACTGAGTTTCAAGGCCAGTCTAAACAACCTAATGAGCTCTTATTTATCTCAAATAAAAAATAAGGGAGGCAGGGCATTTGCTGGAGAGATGTTAAGAGTAGTTACTGCTCTAACAGGGTTAAGAGTTTGGTTCTCAGCACCTTTATCAGGTAGCTCACAGCGTCCTGTAATTCTAGCTCCTTGTCTTTTGGCCCCTGTAGGCACCAGTACTCACACCCCCCAATGGGTGTACACAAATGCATTTTTATAAAATTAGGAGCCAGCAAGATGGCTGCCAAGCTCAAAGGCCTCAATTCCTGGGACCCACATGGTGGAAGGAGAGAACCAAGTCCCTCTCACCTCCACATATATATCTCCCAACACACACACACACACACACACACACACACACACACACACACACACACACAAATAAATACAGCAATTTTTTAAAAATATAAACGGCTGAAGATATGCTGCAGTGTAGAGCACTTGTACAGCACATCCAAGACTATGGGTTCAATCCCTAGAACTGATAAAAAAATAATAATAATATCAATATTCATGGCATTTTCTCTTTTTGATTTTTCGAGACAGGGTTTCTATGTGCAGTCTTGTCTGTTCTGGAACTCACTCTGTAAACAGGCTAGCCACAGATATCCACCTGCCTCTGCCTCATGAGTGCTAAGACTAAAGCTGTGTGCCACCATGCCTGGCTGTTCATGGTATTTTCATTTAGAAGGTTTACAAATACAAGTGCTAAAGATCAGAGTGTCACTGTATTAAAGAAGCCTCCCAGTCAGAAGAGTGTCTTTAGTATGATCATCCCCAGAGATGCTGAACACTCAGAAATAAAATTCAATATTAACTCCTAGATTTGTAAACTCTTAATAAAAAATATTTTTTTAAAAAAAACATATCAACCAAGCAGTGGTCTAAAGCTGGCAATCTGTGTAAAGCAGACCTGGAACTCACAATCTACACCAAGCTAGGCCAGACCTGTTCTTGCAGCTCCTGCTTTGGTCTCTCAAACACTATGCTTACCAACATAAGCCAGCACACCCATACTTTTGTTACTGCCACTGTAAAAGCAGACTGCTAGTGTCTGGTCTCCTTCCTACAAGGGAATGCTAAGAACCATACTGGAGAAGAAGAAAACAATCTATAGTTTATTAAATTCCATGTGTCAATGTTTCCACCATGCTCAACTGCAATGGCAGTTCTACTTAACAGCCCATTCATTGCATCCACTCCATGTAACAGTTGGGGCCCACAAGACAGTCTGAGCCAGTCTAGCACATCACTGCTTACATCCAGGAAGTACTGAAGAGTGTTCCTAGATATATTTCAGGGGGAAAGTAGCTAAAGTATTTCTAATGGCTTCTATCTGCCTACATGTAAAGTAACATTTAAAGAATGTTTAAAGTGATCCAAAACTAAAAAGGGACTGGAGTAAAAGATTTTTTTTTTCATTATATACCTTTTTGCAAGCAGCCTGAGCCATTTTATTATGATTTTGCATAAAATTATAATTTTAACAAATTAATGATGTTATTAAATTTTCATTTATACAACATAATTCTCCGAAAGTGCATCCTTTTTCCTGAACAGGTCTCACCAAATTATCAACCCCTAATGAAGACTAGGTGAGGAAACTAAGTAAACATTAAAAAGAAAGACAGGTGGGGCCGGAGAGATGGCTCAGAGGTTAAGAGCAATAGCTGCTCTTCCAGAGGAACTGGGTTCAATTCCCAGCACCCACATGGCAACTCACAACTGTCTGTAACTCTAGTTCCAGGGATCCAACACTCTCACACAGATATGCATGCAAGCAAAACACCAATGCACATAAAATAAATAAATCTTTAAACAGAGTAAACAAAATATGAGACTGCTTCTTCTAAGTTAGTCTATACAACAAAACTGTAGTTAAATCTACAACACTGACACACACCCCCAAAACCAAGAGTAATCACTTCACTATAATTGCTTTTTGTTAATTAATTAAGGCAAGCAGGCTAAGCACACCCAGGCACCCTCACAACAAGCCCACTCTGAGCCTCAAAGTCTCCATTCTTCACAATTTCCCATGGAAATCATCAGGATCTAATTAGAGACTTGGAGAAAGGAAGCAGTAACAGCAATAACAGAGTGCTCCAGACAATCTGCAGGAGTTACAGGTTAATAAAGGTCACCCCTAGCAACAAGACTTTGTCTCAAATTTGTAATGTGTCACAGGCCAGACTCCTCAGATCCACAGGCAGCTCTGGACACCCACAATCAAGGAGCTTGTTCTCCATCTTAAACGAAGATTGCACTCTTGTTTAGCTTGACTTCTTTTCAATGTTTCTTGTCAGAAACACAGGGAAATGAAATTTGTGGTTAGATTGATGTTTCTTCCTCCTGCTTTTCCACCTCCTGCTATGCCAGGAAGTAACATTAAAGTTCTATCATGTGGTTGCCCATCAGGACACAGGAAGCCAGACCCTCACAACTCAATTGACTAGTGAGTGCAGAGCGGAGATGGAGCAAAAGCTTAATCACAGAGAATGGCACAACAGCAAGGTCAGAGCAGAGGACACTCTACTCACTGTGTAACATACACATGATGTTATGATATATATGGCACTCACACTTAAAGCAGGGTGAAAAGACATTCAACAACAGGAATGTAATATACAGAGAAGTATGATCAAAGAGAAGATATCTATTGAATCCATTTTCTTCCTGCCCTCCCATGACTATAGATTTTTCCATTTTCAAGCCCAATATCAATAGAGGCAAACACCTGTAACCCACTTCTTATATTTTTGGTTGTGAACCTAGCCTTTAACAGCTGAGCCATCTTTCCAGCCCCTGTAACTCACTTCTTAGAAGCAGAAGCAAGAAAATGATCAGGCGGTAAAGCCATCCCCAGTTACACAGCAAGTTAGGTTACATGACACTGTCTCAAAAACAAATCTAGGAAGATGGCTCAGTGATGGAGAGAAGACTTGATGACTCAGTGGTTAACATGCTCGTATGCAAGCATGAGACCTGAGATAGGTAAGGCATCATGGAACTATAATACGGGAGGGGGGGGAGGACACGACACACCACAGTAACTACAAGCAGTTACCTGGGGCTCACTAGCCAACCAGTCCAGCTATAAAGCAGCAAATTTCAGGCAGTGAGCTCTGACTCAAAAATAAATAAATAAATGAATGAATGAATGAATGAATAAATAAATAGGGTGAAGAGCAACAGAGACAGAAAACTGATGTCAACCTCCTTTGCCTGCCTACACACACACACACACACACACACACACACACACACACACACAGAGAGAGAGAGAGAGAGAGAGAGAGAGAGAGAGAGAGAATAAATTTCCTATTTTCCAAAGTAACAACAAACCTTTGTATTTGGGGTAAATGTAAAGACAAGCGTTAAGTACAAAGTAAGGACCCTGTCATGGTGATCTACTACTGTAATCCCAGCATGTGGGACAAAGAAACAGGATCATGAGTTTCAAACCAGCTCAAGTTTTGGGAACCTGTCTCCAAATCAAGCATGAAAAAAAGAAATAATAGGGAAGGAGGAAAGAAGGACTGGATTGATTATGACCATAAAAGAAAAATAGAATAAAATTAAAGAATATGCAATCACCTTAATTAAAAAGTTTAAATAGAAAGATTAAAAAGTTTAACCACAACTGGCAGTGGTGGCACATGCCTTTAATCCCAGCACTGAGGAGGCAGAGGCAGGAGGATATCTGTGAGTTCAAGGCCAGCCTGGTTTACAGAGTTCCAGAACAGCCAAGGCTACACAGAGGAACCCTAACACCCCCCCCAACCCAAAAAAAAAAAAAAAAACAAAAAACAAAAGTTTAAACTCTATCATGACATAAATCCTAGTACTGGAGAGATGGACACAAAGAGGTTCAAAAATAAAGGTCATCTTTGGCCACATAGTAAGTTTGAGGCTAGCCTGCACTGCATGAAACGGTCTTGGGGGAGAAAAAGAAATAAAAGACTAAAGATTTTCAAAGTAGTAACATGTACAACAAGTAGTTTTCTATTAATGTACATTAACTTATCAAAATGCAGAAGAGAGAATTAAAGCCATAATTCTCAAGATGACCTAAAGTGCTAACCACAGCAGCTTAAAGTATGAATTACTGTGACATTAAGTTACAATGTCAGAAGTTATAGTAAACCTAAGTGCCAGGAAACAGCCCATCTCTTCAATCAATACTAATCAACACCATTAATTTACAAAAATCACATTACAAGGGTTGGAAAGATAAATGGCTTCAAGGTTAAGAGCATGCTCTGGTCTTCAAAGCACTGGAAGTTCAGTTCCCAGAACACAAGTAGGGCAGCTCCAGTCCCTAGGGATCTGATGTTATCTTCCAGCAGGTGATGTATTAACATGCTCAAACACAGAGAGACAATTCTAAAAACGATAATAAAATTCTTTTTTTTTTTTTTTTAAATCCTGTTACTTGCTGGGTATTGATGGCCCACGCCTTTGACCCCAGCACTAGGGAGGCAGAAGCAGGCGGATCTCTGTGAGTTTGAGGCCAGCCTGGTCTACAGAGCTCCAAAGAATTACAGAGAAACCCTGTCTCAAGGAAAAAAATAAAAAAAAAAACCTGTTACCTGTTACTCAAAGAAATGATACATACTGGGACATGAATGTCTTCAAAAGAGAATATTCTTCATTTTTAGAGTCTGGGACAAGAATTGCAAAATGTAAAACAGCCATGACATTTAGCAAGTATCTACTAACAGATTAGAAGATATGATTCACTGCTTGACGGTGCTTATAAGCCACTAAATAAATGGCTCAAGCACCATTTAAAGCCAGAGAGTAAACACAGCTGAGTATGAATTATTATAGTGCCAGGGGAGGACCAGAGTGCTATAAAATCTGTATTAAGATAAGCATTAACCAAGGTGATACATACATGGCTAACTGTATTCTTTTAAATTCTAGACAACTAAGAAACACTAAATTTGTTTAGTTGTCCATAACATAAAACCAAAAATACCAAGAGATAGGCATTCTGAGAAGAGTTGACCTGCCCACACTTACCGTTTTCCACATAGGGATGAAAGGGCAAAACCAAGGCAAGGATGACCCTGCCTTGGGTGGGCTCCAAGACACTTCTGATATCTTTTAACAATGTCAGGGGCTGATCACACCGATCCAGCAGATTTAAGCAGCTGATGACATCATACTGGAACCCTGTATTCTGCCATTCATTTATACCAAGCACTCTGGAAAAATCAAAAAGAACTTGGTTAATATTTCTCCCATTTAGAGACAGCTTTAAAAATAACTATGATAAGCAGAGAATAGAAGTGTACCCCTTTAATACCAACACTTGGGAGGCAGAAGCAGGTGGATCTCTATGAGTTTGAGGCCAGGCTGGTCTACACACTGAGTTCCAGGACAACCAGAGCTATATAGTGAGACTCCTGTCTCAAAAAAAAAAAAAAAAAAAAGAAAGAAAGAAAGAAAAACTGAGATGCCAATAAAGACTATAACTTTGTCTTCTAAATCAATGTGGATTCAAAGTATATACCTATAATTTATAATTACAAGTATACAAAGAACAGGCTAGAAAAACTGGCAACTGTGAAGGCCAGAAGTCAGTCTTGGGTGTCATTCCTCAGATGCTATCCACTTTCATTTTTTTGCTAAGACAGAGTCTTCCATTGACTTGGAACTCAATAATTAGGCAATGCAGGGCAGTCAGCCCCAGGATTCTCCTGTATCCATCTCTCCAATGCTAGTATAATAAATTCATGCCACTACACTCAGCTTAGCATGAGTACTGGGGCATTGCCTAAGTCCTTATGCTTGTATGCCAAATACTTTCCTGAGCTAGATCTCAGTCCATACTTTATCCTATAGCGTTTCTTCCTTTCTATTTTATCTTGTAGCATATCTATCTATCTATCTATCTATCTATCTATCTATCTGTCTATCATCTATCACCTACCTACCTACCTACCTACCTACCTACCTACCTATCTGCTTTTTGAAATGGTGTATTACTATGTAGCCTTGGCTGGCCTCCTGCTTCTGCCTCCTAGCACTGAGTTTACAGGTATGGGCAACAAACCAACAGTAACCAGCCCTTTTGCTATACAGATGTCTGTCTATCTGCACTAAATACCTCCCGAAACAGACATAGCACTAAAGCTTCAGAAGCATTTTGTCATCTTGAGATGACAAAAGCTGGATTCAGTTCTTTAAGGAGGGGTTTCAGAACGCTACTGTTCAGGCTCTGGTTTCAGGATAAAATGTCATCAGTTCCATTATAAAACAATGAAAAAAAATTATGAATACTTGTATAATGCTTTAGCCAAACAATTTAAAATCACAAATTACACACTTGATTAAACAAAACTATAATCTTAGGTCTACAATGAAAGAAAAGCCAGACGTGAAGCAGCATGTTTCACTAAGAAAAATCTCTCACTTAATCCACTTCAAAATCAGCTGTAGGTAAGTAATTTCTATGTCAGGAATGAACCAAAACTTAGGAGTGTTATGTTGGGAAGGTTAAATTTGTGCTGACAGCAGGTCAGTCTCATCCTCACTTCATTCTTTACAGCTCCATTTGTAAACCAGGTCCATTCTTTAAGCTACATTAGTAACTAGACTCAGGCTGCCCAGGAATCCTAATGAGTTGTTGGGAGTTTTCTTTTTTTTACAAGATGAAAAAGAGTGTCTCATCTCATAGTGCAGCCCCTCCTAGCATGTTACTGAGGTGAAGGATCCTGGCCCTCTCCATGTAAGGTGAGGAAAAACCTGGCAGTCACTCCTAAATAAGCCTTGCCAGTCTACCCAGCTAAGCATGAATGGCCATCTGCACATTCCATTTTGCAGTATCTTTCATTAAGAAATGTAAATAGAGGCCATTTATGGCCCCCCCATACCAAGCACTGTTTTTAGCTTTTGCTATGTTTATGTTTGTACCACTGCATACTTGTGGGAGTCAGAAGACAACTTGTAGAGTTGCTTCTCTCCCCACCACCACGTGGATATCAGATTCAGGAGGCTTCATACTTGGTAGCAAGCTTGCTACTCATTTAACCACCTCACTGGCCCAGTTTCTGTTTTAATTAAGTGGAGAGATTAGAAATCCAACTTGACTTAAGCTGTCATTATAATAAAAGCCAAAACATTCCAAATTTTGATATGAACTAACTTCTAATCATAGGGGTAATGCACTTTTAATTATTACCATGGAGGTGCAGCAGGACACAAACTCAAGGATGAAACCAAGGTGAGCTACACTGTCATTCAAACTCACTTCAAATGTAACATCCCATACAGTTACTTAACACTGCTGTGAGAAAGGATGACGTTCCTATCCATAACTCCACTAGAATCCAGCCGTGCCTGATCATGGCAGAAACTACTCTTGCCTCTTCCTTCCATTTAAAATCTAAGTTTGTGAAATATTTACAGCAAACTTCCCCTCCACCACCACCTTGGTCTGTCCTTTCTCTAGTCTAATAAAACTCTACATGTTTTCTAAATGTTCAATCTGGTCCTGCTCCACCAAAGATGCAAAGATGCTATGACTAAGGTTAGTCTAAGTAAAAACATGTTACAGTTAAATGATTGAGAACATAATTTCTATCCAAGGCTTCTAAATATCACAGAGACAGGTACCATCTCCATATTGTATAAGTAGTCAATCCAGAGAAATCTCTTTATATTTTCCTCAGAAGCCTCTGAACCCACAGACTTCATACCTAATAATAATCTTCCTAAGTCTCTAAAGCACCAGGCAGTCTGCAAAGTGAACTTGACCCTTTATACCCACAGCTCTCTGGGGAAGGGGTGGGGTCCAACTACTGTCAGGGATGTAAAGAAATTGCTTAGTGGGGATGTAATTGGTATAGGTGCTATGGGAAAGGTACAGTGAATTCTCAAAAAGTTTCACAGAGACTTAGGGGGCTAGAGAGATGGTTCAGCAGTTTGGAGCACTTAACTTTTGTAGAAGACCTGAATTTGATTCCAAGTACCCACATAGTGGCTCACAATCACCTGTAACTCCAGCACCCTCTTTTACTCTTTTAGCCTCTATGGGCAACAGGCATGCACATGGTATACAGACATACATACAGGCAAAACATACACATAAAATATATTTTTTAAAAATTTAAAAACTATAGACTTTAATATAGAGATAGATAGATAGATAGATAGATAGATAGATAGATAGATAGACAGACAGACAGACAGATAGATAGTGTGTTAGTGGTGCATACCTTTAATCCCAGCACTTGGGAGGCAGAGGCAGGCAAATCTCTATGAGTTCAAGACCAGCCTGAACTACAAAGTGAATTCTAGGACAGCCAGAGCTGTTACAAAGAAACCCTGTTCTGAAAAATCAAACAAACAAACAAAAAAAAGAAAAAGAAAAAAAAAAAAAAAACTTGTAGACTTAACATGTGATCTAGCAATTCTCACTTTTAGGCATATACCTAAAAGTGAGAGCAGAGGCTTAAACAGGAATTTTTATTACTCATTCATGCATTACTCACACTGGCTGTGGTGACCGAATAAGAATGCCCCCCAAGAAGCTCACAGATTTGGATACTTGCTCCCCAACTGATGAACTGCTCTGGAAGGGCTAGGAGTTGTGGTCTTGTTTAAGGTGGTGCCACTGAGGGTGGAATATGAGGTTTCTCAAAAGCTCACGCTATTCCCAGTTCTCTCTCTCTCTGCTTTACAGCTACTGTCTCAACATGTAAGCTCTCAGCTACGGCTTCAGTGTCATGCCCACCATAATGATCACAGACTCACCCTGTGAACCTGTAATCACAATAAACTCTTTTTTGTATAGTTGTCTTGGTAATGGCAACAAAAAGTAATTAAGGCAAAATGTTAGAAACAACCCAAATGTTTGTAAAATACAGCGTAGAGTAACTGTACAATCCTGTTATTCAGCACTGAGGAAAGTGAGGAACAAGCTACAACACAGATGACCCACCAAACAGTATGGTAAATGAAACAGGCCAGTCAAAGGGCTTTCACAAGTCCTCCTATAATTCCTCCAAGCTAAGGTACACAGAGTAGTCAAATCATACAAAGTAGAAAGGTAATTATGGGCTGGAAAGAAGGAAAAATCAGAGGTAACTATTTGAGAGTTAGGGAAGATGAAAAAGTTGTGAAGATGGATGCTACAAATGAACCACTACCAATGACCTAATTAGAAATGTAAATAATTAAAATGGTACATCTTATAATACATATATTTTACCAATCTTTTCAAAAGTGTACAAGACATCTAGACATGCCAGATTCTACCTAGAGGACAGACCCTCACCTCTGACTGCCTGCTCCAAGCTGTCTCTCACTCATGCTATGCTCCCTGTGATGCCAAGTTCTCTGACTCGAAAAAATGCTCCCATGGAAAATTCCTTTTCTATGGTTTCCCACTGATGTGTGCTTAATTCTTAACCATGAGAAACTGTTCCTCCCTCTTATCAATAGGATATACACACTGAAAACGAAACCCATCTAACACCAAGTTACCCCAGCCCCGCACACCTCTGGAACTGGTTGGTACCTGTATTTCTTCTTCTGGAGCTGCCAGATCATCGTTTCAGAGAGCTCAGTAGCATAAATCTCTTCAAAATGAGGACTCATGATTTTTGTGACCTCTCCATCTCCAGCACCTAAGTCAAGAAGTCTATGAGTTTTCCAGTCCGGATTAATTTTAAGCAGTCTCTGAAACTGATCTGGTGAAAACACAAACATCGAGCCTCTTCCTAGCAACCTGGGGGAAAAGGATAAGAGTTGAAGTCTACATATGTTAATACTTCTATGTACACACAGACCAAACAGCACCAAAATTGTTTGACTTTATGTAATTATTACATGATTAACATATAGTTTATCTTTTATGGCTAAAAGGCAAATTTACTAATGTACAATGTGAAAATACCATTTTTTTTTTTATAGCTGCAGATGAAACTCCAAAATGCATGGGGATGGTAAGACAGAAGGGAAGGAGAAGCAAAGAAGAAATTAAATAGTGGAAGTGAGAACCAAAGTTGAAATAGAAAGTAAAGGTAGAAGGAATGGCAGAGATGCCAGGCTAGCAGAGTCAGACCACAGGACAGGACTAGGCAAAGGAGTCAAACATCCCTTTTAGGAAGATGGACTCAACAATATGTAATAGGGAAAAAATAGCTTTGTATAAAAGAGTTTTAAGATACACTAAAAATAAAATTGAAACATTTTAAAAGAGCAACTTTTGCAAGAGCAGCCAACTGGCATTAAGGAAGTGGGTCCATATTCAGGTAGGTTATTTTATAGTTAGTTGTAAAATAATACTTTATTAAAGGTCCTAAAAAGAACCTTCAAACTTATAGTATTGACTGAAAAGATAGAAATAAAAAGAGGCTCACAGAGGTTACATGGAGACAGAAGGAGCCCTCAGAAAAGCAATTGTAGCTCAAGCAAGCCTCAAAGATGTGCAGTCCTACTCTTTTCTTGCTCTTAAATCCTGGTTTGTCTAGGGCAGGAATTCCCCAACTTCCTTTAAGCAAAACCACCTCTTCTTCAAATGAAGTAGAACTCAAGGCACTACAAAATCTAAGGAGCTATTATTACAACAGCGAGGCTGAGAACATGTAGCTGCCAGCAGCCCACTTTTAAGATTTTTCTCTGCAACCTAAAGCAGCTCCTACTCAGATCCTGGGAAACCACTGATACCAGAAGCAGAGAAATCTGAACCATTCTGCAACTTTCTGGAAATTATCAGAATGTCAAATAGGCTTACTGCTCAATGACTGTGAAAATGCATGCAACACAGTGCTTGCAGTAAGAACAGTTTCAAAAAACAGTAATAAAAAGCATGGAGTTGATGTAATAAATTTATTCTCTTGTTTTGTCATTAAGGCTGTAAGAGGGTTTAACAAAATTTAATAATATGTTTACAGTAAATCTTCTGCCTCACACAAATGCTGAAATACTGGAGAGCAGGAGCCCAGAAGACCCCAGAGACAGCTAAGCATGTTGCTGAGAACATTTTACCAAGGAAAGCCATATCTCATAAGAGACATATCTAATCCCCATTGTTTTCATTGCTAGAGGAAAACAAGCACATGTGAGCAAAAGGACTGAACTTGCTGAAATGGCTGCACAAAGTCCATGCAGGATCCAGTCAAGCAGAAGGACTTCAGGCAGCCTGATGCTGACTTCATGCCACAGAACCAAAAAAAGTCACAAAATACTTTGCCTAAAACTTTCTCAGCTATAAAACATGTTTCCCAAGCCATATCCCTGGCATGATACTATAAAATTATAGGCTACTCATCTGAAGTCAGAACTCACAAAATTAATGCACTAAAGTCTACATTTAAAGACACCAAAAAAGAAATGAGGGAAACACTACCCTATCTCCAAAGAACATGAGCAAAGAGGGCACCATTAAAAAGATAAGTGTCAAGGGGTGGTAGTGGCACACGCCTTTAATCCCAGAACTCGGGAGGCAGAGGCAGGTGGATATTTGTGAGTTTGAGACTAGCCTGGTCTACAGAGCAAGTTCCAGGACAGGCTCCAAAGCTACAGAGAAACCCTGTCTCAAAACACACATACACAAAAAAAAGATAGTGTCAAAAAGAGTCAACTAACTCTGCCCTTCGAGAAGTTCAGAAAGACGTGAAAAGCTAAACTTCCTACAATGTTTAGCCAGCACAACAGAATCATCAAGTACATATGGAGACACTGCCCTAGTATGACGTCAAGGCCTCTGGAAAACACTAGTACCTTCATAATCATCCTAGGTTCTCTAGCCACATCTACAGAGGAAGTGTGTCTCTTCCTTATAAAATAACTGAAAACAAGCTGGGCAGGGGTGACACACATCATTTGATCCCAGCTCTTGGGAGGCCAGCCTGGTTCCAGGACAGCCAGACCTACACAAACTCTTGTCTCAAAAAAAAAAAATGAATGAATGAATGGATAGATGAATGAATGAATATAAATAAACTGAAAACAGCTATCAAGTCTCTCAAGGGATATAACTTGGTGGTAGACAGAGTCCTTGCCTCAACTGTATAAGGTAGTAAAATTCCCAGTACCACCAATTTTAAAAAAAGAAAAGAAATTCTTTTAAACTAGGTATAGCAGCACATATCTGTTATCCCAGTAATCAGGAGGCAGAGGCAAGAGAGTTGCCACAGTTCAAGAACTAGTCAGACACAAATAGCAAGACACTATGCAAAAACAAAACCAAACAACACAAAACAACTCTCTACTTGGCCTTCTCTCTACCATGAAGGAATGTGGTGAGTATCTTGGTTTAAGAAGGTTTCCCATACTGTGTAGTTACTTCTATAGTAGAGAGCACCACTGCATGGTGGGAAATACCAGTGGGCTCAAAATTGAGTTCTGGGTGGAGAACAGGAGGCAGAGCAAGAGGAAAAAAGGCAGAGGCATATAAGGTGAAGGGCGGGGGGAGAGGGGAACAGGGATGAGATGGATCAGAAGGTGAAGGTGCCAAACCTTACTACCTAGGTTCAATCCCATACAGCAGGGAAGACTCAATCCCCACAATTTGTCCACTCCCTCCAAACTGGTATGCTCTGGCACATGCACATTCACATGTGCACACACATAGTACACACAGTAAAAAAATAATAGTAACTGTAGAATGAGCAAGGCAGACAGCACAGCATGAAAGAGGGGCATATCATTGGACACAGGTGTTTCAGGCCAATCTGATCAAGATAGCAAGACTCCATAAAAACAAAAGGATGGAGAGAGTTACAGATAAATGAAAGAATGGTATTTACTAATTATATTGTCTGTTAATCAAACTACCAAATTCTACAGTAAGGAATTTTAAGTGGGTTCCAACAGATAGAGAGAAAAGGAAATAATTTAGTTTGAAACTTCCAGAAACAAAGCAGTGATGTAAGCACTTTCTTTTAAAAAGCATTTGTTTGTTTATTTATTTGTTTGTTTATGTGTGCATTGGTGTTTTGTCTGCATGTATGGTTGTGTAAGGATTTCAGGTTCTCTGAAACTGGAGTTACAGACAGATGTGAGCTGCCCTGGGGGTGCTGGGAATTGAAGCCAGGTCCCCTGAAGAGCAGCCAAAGTTCTGAACCATTCAGCCATCTCTCCAGTCCCTGTAAGCAGTTTTTAAAGAAAAGATTCCCACCTTTGATCACTTTCAAAGAGGTAGAAAACCCCCATAACGAATCTCTGCATGGTGCTGTATGCCTTTAATAATAGCACTTGGGAGGTAGAGACAGGCAGATTTCTACGTTCAAGGCCAGAATAGTCTACAGAACGAGTTCCAGGACAGCCACTGCTACACAGAGAAATCCTGTCTTGGGAGAAAAACAAAACAAAACAAAACAAAACAAAACAAAAAAACAAAACAAAAAAAAAAAAACATACATACATACATACATATCTCTGCCACAGTGACACACCTGATTTCCAAAGAAAGAATAAATAGCATAGGACAGAAAAATCAGTGTAACCCATTTTAGGAACAAAACATCAGGCCAGGTTGTATAAATTCAACTCCCAATATAAAATCACAAATGTTTGCTGAAGCAAACAAACCAAGCTCATGTAAACAAGGAAGAAAATCAAGTAAGAAATCCTGACAGATGGCTTGTGATGCCTGAAAACATATTTGAGAACCAGATGATAGACTGGGGAACCAGACTTTTAGCAAAAACTTGATCCAAACCTCAAGGGAAAAAGAAAAGTGGGCAAAACAAGGCCTGTTAAGCATCATAACTGATTGCCAAAATTTGGCTTTCTGCTTGTAGAGGCTTAGGCATGTTTAAAATTATAACTAAGAAGTGATATATGATATTTATGAAGTCTTTTCTGTAGATGTATATATGAAGGAACCAAACTTTCTGGTAAGCCTAGACATACATTATGTGAGGACAAATGCCAGATCCTTCAAACAAGCTGTTGCCTACTGTTGGACTCAATAGATAGATCCCTTCAAAAAATTGCTTGCAGGGTGCAGAGCATAAGGGCCTCTTCCACTTTGAGGGCTTGGTGTCAAGTCTTTGCTACATCAAAACCTTTAGTTAGCAATCTGCTATCAGAAGTTAGTTAAAAATTCAGACCCTCAGGCAGGGTGTTGGCACATGTCTTTAATCCCAGCACCTGGATGGGCAGACGCAGATGGATCTCTATAAGTTCAAGGCAAGCCTGGTCTACAAAGTGAATTTTAGGACAACTAGGGCTGTTATACAGAGAAACCCTGTCTCAAAAAAACAAAAACCACAGATTCTCAGGATAATCAACTCATAACCTACCTTTTAACATCAAAGCCTGGTGGTCTCTGTGTACACCAGAGCAGGAAACGCACTGAATGAAAGTCTCCCTCCACAGAATGCAGGCTAATAAAGCTACTTTCACAGTTACAATGGATTTTAAAGGTCTAGATACACAAAGGTCCAGTGAGCTTTCTGTCACGGATTTTGACAAGCAGGAGTGTTGTGGCTGAGGTAGTATCTAGAACAAGGTAACTTTCCTCTTTCCTTTTTTAGGCCTAAGATAAAAGGGATGGGGATTTAATATTCACTTACCCGTTGATAGATGTTCTAGACATAAACAGGCTAAAAACAGATGATACAAAAGAATGATAAAGTTGGATAAATAGCCAGCCAGATTTCTCAATGCTGTTGTTTAAGAAGATCTGTGTTCCTTGATCAAGATAACTCTGAACAAAGACAGACTGAAGTGATTCACATAACTTCTCTCTGTTGCACACATACCACTAGGGGGGAAAAAAAAGGAAGATTAAGCATAGTTGATGTAACATCTAAGAAAACAACAAACAGAAATCTAAAATCTAAGATCTTCAAATATAATCTCATGACTCTGAGGGCAATCATCAATCATCTTTTCTTCCCATATGACCCACAAAGTACAAACTTCTTTGGTACAACCTCTCACTTCATTCTCAACACCCAGCCCTCTAGGTGAAGAGGAAGGGAGTGAGGTTTTCAGGTCATACGGCACAGGAAGGAGGTGACAGAACCAGATCATCAGCCTAGGTCTTAGAACCCGACCCAAGGCTTCAGTAACAGCACAGTCAAGTCAGAAGAATTGTCATATAATCTAGAGATGAACTCAAATCTGCCAATCAAATCAGCAGCACAGTGAGCAATAGTTAGTACTCTGGAAAACACATCAGGTTGCCTGCCTATCTTCTTCAGAGATATAAGGAAAAGAGACCTTCGGGCATACTGGGGTGTGTGCTTTAGCAATAGGCCTGCCAGCAACTCTAAAGAGACTGCAAGATGAGCTCAAGAAAGCTGAAGTTCATTCTGCAGTCAAGGAGAAGACCAAGTGATGACAAACTAAATAGAGATTTCTAGGATTAGGCTCTAGCCAGAAAATAATTTTTAAAACAAAATTCCACAGCTATAGATAGTTAACTTTCCAGGCTAGACAAATGGCTCCATGTTTAAAAGCACCAGCTGACCTTGTAAATGACCCAGACTCAGTTTTCCAGTACCCACATGGCAGCTCACAACCCTCTGTAACTCCAGTTCTAGGCAATTTAATGCCCTCTTCTGGCTTCCTCAGGCACAGCATGCATGTGGTACATGTACTTACATGCAGGCAAAAGACCCATATGCATAATAATTTTATTTGTTTAGCTAGCCTTCCAAAACAAACGTTTCCCATCTCCCTAGAGTTAGTGCAGCAGAAAAGTGGGAAAGTAGGTTGCATGGCAACTTCAGTGTCAGACCCACAAGCAGTCCTAGCTCTGTAACTCCCATGTGGGCTCAGACAAGTGACTCACTCCTTAGCAGACAAGGTGATCCACCAATATCTTGGTAAGGTACTATGAGGGTTAAACAAAAACAGTGCAGGCAAGTCAGTATAGCACAAAGCATACTGTAAAAGCAGTAGTGATTCCTCTAATATAATACAGATACCCACAAGTCCCTTATATATAGATGGTTACTTTTAGTGCATTGTTTATTAAGGAACTACTAACTTTTCCAAATAAGGAGTCTACTAGTCAAAAGTGACTTGCTTAACCTTGACAAATCTGACCACTTACCAGCAGTAAGTGTTCCATAACTTCCTGCAAACTTAATGGGGCAACTTTACAGTCATCCAACACTTAATAAATGCTGAGTACAGTCTGTCTTCCTGACACTAACATTAAAAGAAACCAAATGTAAGCCAGCAAAAACATGCAAAAGGTCACATTAATGTCAGTGATTCATCCTTTATACACTCTATATACTCCCAACTTTCTTGTTCTTGACTACTTTGTACTAACTTGCTATTTAACCACTGTTACCAAAACTGCCTGAGCTTTTACCTAAAACATCTTGTTGTCTCTGCACTATAGTGACAAGCTATAAAACGGCTTACTTAAATCCACAGCCTAAACTCCTCTCCTTGGTCAGGAAGTGTTCTTGCTTAATCATTTACTAATCCTGAAAACTTACTGGGCCTGAAGCTATGCCCCCATACAGCTCATAAATCATTTTTATTATACTCATGACCTTGTGCACATTCTGAACTCTAAACTCTGAGGTACTCTATTTTTTTTTTTTTTAACTCTGAAATGACTAATCAAGTTGAAACCCAGTGCCTTGCTAACAGGCATTCAGGAACATTCTAGCAAGAAGTCATCCAATTGAAAACCAGGAGCTAAGAATTTCCTGGCATCTGTTTGTAAATGGACAACAAGAAAAACAATGGATTCTGACTTCCAGAAATAAGCAAGAAGTGGCATCATTTACTGTTATTGTTTCCAAACACCATGAAAGTCTTGAATTTTAATAGCATATTTCTCCATTCATAAATAGTAACACATGTGGTTGAACCTTTACTGCCACAGAAGTTTTCTCAGGAATCTGGTGGTTTGAATAAGAATGGCCCCCATAGGCTCATATATTTCAATGCTTAGTCACCAGAGAGTGGCACTATTTTAAAGGATCATAAGGATTAGGAGATGTGGCCTTGCTGGAGTAGGTGTGACCTTGTTGGAGGAAGTATGTAGCTATGGGTATGCTCTGAGGTTTTAAAAGCCTGCGATAAGCCCAGAGTCCCTCCCCAGGCCTGCATATTGGAATGTAGTACTCGGCTACTGCTCAAGCACCTGTCTACCACCATGTTCCCTGCCATGATGATAATGGACTAAACCTCTGAAAATGTAAGTAAGCCTTCAATTAGATACTTTCTTTCCAAAGAGTTGCCTTGGTCATGAAGTGTCTTCACAGCAACAGAAAGTGACAGAAGGTGATTAGTAAATGGAATATGCTGCTGAGTAAAAAGGAGTAAAGCTCTTCCCTGGAGGTTTCCATGTCCCTCCTGGCCAGTTATGTGATACAAGGCTCAAGTCCACAACAGCACCAGACACCATTATCAAAAAAGCAGGAACAACCTGGCTGTCCATCAACTGATAAGTAAAAATGTGTAGTAGATGCATGCATAAAAAGAATAAAGTACAGGCACATGCTCCAGGATAAGCCTTGACAACACACTAAGTAAAATAAGCCAGGCACAAGAGGTAACTACTGTATAGTTCTTATATCAAACATCTATGATATAGAAATCCAAAGACAAAAAGCAGATTCTGTAACTCAGGCCTTATTAATGGATGTAAGGTTTATAGCAAACACACCTACATGTAGGTGGGCAGTTTGATCCTATAGAAATTAAGCACTCTAGAAACACATACGACCTAGCAAATAATATGTAACAGTAATAAAGGTCAAAGTGCTCACCACGGTTTCCATGGCCTTACAAAATTATTGTTCTTTCTTGTCCACAGACTCACCTCACAGCATGTACTACCATGACCCTGGGCTCTCACCTGTCAGTGTTCTGTACTCTCTTTTAAAGGCTCCTTTCCCACAGCTATTCCACACAGCATTTGTTTTGCCCACTGTGCTCCCCACCTGGTTAGTGCAGCCCAACTTAAGCATGTCCTCGGTTTCCCTGAACTTCTAGAGTAGGTTAGAGTTCCCTGTACTCATACATCTCATTTGTCTCCTTGACAACATGTGTGACAGATGAATTGTTTATGGCATGCTTAGCATCTATCCTCACAGACCAAAGGTTTTATAAAGACTGGGACAATAGCTGACTTCAGAGTTAGGTAGACAAAGACAGATGACTTATTTGCCTCTGGCTCTCGAAACAATTGCTGCTAAGACTCACAGGAAGTCTATATAGGTAGAATCTGGAATCTTTAACAAACTCATGAAGGAAACAAGGATAATTACAGAGATATCCTGTCACTGGGTTGTTAGTTGCTCAAACTCCAGAGTTTCTACAAAGCCTTACTTAACCAAACTTTGCAAACAATGGCTAAAAACTATTTACTTACCTACCACAAAACTTCATTATCACACGCAAGCACACATGGAAGAAAGACGGTGAGCACCCATAGGTGCCAGGCACCTGGCAAATCTTTGTTGCGATCACACCACATAACTTTTTTTTTTTTTTTTTTTTAACAGATCCTTACCCTGTAGCACAGGGTGGCCTGGAGCTTACTATGTAGCTCAGACTAGAGGTAACAGTCCTGCCTCAGCCTCCCGAACTCTAGAATTCCAGGCATGAGCTACTTCATGTGGGTTAAACTTACTTTTTTAAACAGAAGGAAGTCTAGAGTCTCAAAGTGCCTCAGCTGCTTCTAGATCCTATTCCTGTGACTGTATGCCAAGAGCATCTTTTAAAAAGGGATCTTGCTTCACTCTATCCAGTACTGCTTGAAAATAAACAGCACTATTCTCCAATGAAGCTGGTCTGGGCAAGTTTGAAGAAAAAATAATCTAGTCTGGACAGTGTATTCCTACCAGCCAGCATTACTCAATCTTCGCACTGACACTTAGGTTTAGTAACCCTTTGTTACAGAATACCTTTACCTGTCAGATGCTAGTAGCACCACCCCAGTGCACAAAATGCCCCCGGGGAGCAACTGCCACTGCTTGAGAACCTATAAGAGAACTGGATTTAGCCAGTTGTGTTTCCTAACTACTTTGGCTTAACTGTGATCTAAGATGGCTATGATTTCAGGAGGGACCCATTGGTTTCAGGAACTTGAATTCCAGAAGGGAAAATAAAATAAAATCTGAAACCAAAACAAACAAGAAGCAACGAAGTCTATGATCTGGGTTCCAACCTGCAGAATCCTCGCTAAGTAAACCTTGCTCAGGTGCCAACAAGAGACAATCAGTGAGAAGCTACGGCACAGACAGTGGTTCTCTGTAGTCACTGCTCTCTAAACAACCAGACTTAAATGAAAGCTCTATAGAGCTCACAGGCACTGCATAGCTGCCTAAAGACTCATGGGCACTTTCCAGCACGTAAAGTTCTTTGAATGCATGCTCCTCAAAGGCTACAGAGACAAAGGTGCAGTGGGCAAGAAAATACTAGTTATGAGAAGGTCTGTGAGCTTATTAATCAAGTAAACTTTGAAATCCTACCAACCCACTGATGACAAGCAAGGTAGGCTATCATAACTAAACACTTTTGTAAAGCTATAATAACAGTATTGTCATTACTTGCACAGGACTGCATGGACAATAGTAACTGACAATGTTACTACATCAAGATAACGGGACATGAGGTCTTATTGTCTTTCAAAACTTCTTCATGGGCTGGGGAGATGGCTCAGTAATTGCTGTGCCAACATGAGGCCCTGCGTTGAAATCCCAAGTACACAGATTAAAAAGCCAGGCAGCCTAGCCAGAACCATGAGCTTGAGATTCAGTGAAAGCCCCATCTGTCCCAAGAGAA